TTGTTAAGTGAATCTGGCTTCCCCATTGACTTTCTTGTCAGAAGGTTGCAAAAGGTGATCACATGATCTTGGGACACTGCAACCCTCATAAATAGGAGCCACTTGCCAAGCATCTGAATTTTGATCACATGGGAATGCTTCAGTGGTCATAAGCATAAAAATGGTCCTAGGTCACTTTTTTCAGTGTCGTTGTAACTTCCGACAGGCATTAAATGAAATGTTGTAAGTTGAGGACTACCTGTATCAGACTTTTCTTGGTGTTTGTTTTTGATGAACAATGCCCATTCAAAGAGTATAAATGACTACATATTGCTGGAATGAGATTCCAATTCAAGCCAAACAGCTAATTGAGGGTGGGAGGAGGAATCACAGTGTCACATTTGACAAGTCAGATATTTATGGCATAAAATGGCATAGTTGTATGAAACAATCTTATGAAGCATCTTAATGAATATAGTGTGCTCCCATAAAGGAGATTATTGCCCCTGGCAATCTGCTCCTAGCAAGCTATTGGGATGCAGCAGACATATGTTTAACTTCTATCATTATAGTTTCGGATGAAATATACACTGGCTGTTCTTAAACTTGTTAAAAGTGGCACTAGGATAGATAAAATATCCACAAGAGAATTTTGAAATGTTTAAAAGTAAAAACCATAACATAACCTAGTTTATTGAAAGTGACTGGGACATTTAAAAAAAATCTCTTCAGGGTAATATAACATGTAAACATATAAAACAGTACATCTTTTATTAATAAAGAACTAGTTGAACGTAATACTTACAATGCAATGTGCATGTTTGACCAACAAGTCTATTTTTTGTGGGTTGGTTTTTATTTGATAGTTGTTTTCTGCTTCTGCCCACCTAGTCTGCATAGGCTAGGTTAGGCAAGTCTAAAGCTTTCTACCAGTAAGACAGTTGCAGAATCTGAGGCCCTAGGCCTTGTATGGTCTTTAAATTCCAGAGGTGCATTCTGAGAACCATTCTCAATGTTGTCACAGAAATGAGGGGGTCAACTATTTCCTAAAGGGCCAGAGGGAAGGACAAAAAGTAATGGATGGAAGATCATTAAAGAGACATCCAACCTAGAATTAAAGAAGAATTTTTTGACTGAGAACACTCAATCAGTAGAATGGTTTACCTCTGGAAGTTGTGGGTACTCGTATCACTATAGGTTTTCAAGAATAGACTGGACAGCCATTTGTCTGGAATGGTATAGGGTCTCCTACTTGAGCAGGGGGTTGGACTAGAAAAGATGTCAGTACCGGGTCGCGGCATGCCAGCAACCGGGCCACACAAATAAGCAAAGCCCCATCTGTGAGATACAGGCAGCAGTTTTTCTGGTCCGCGAAAAAAACCTATCTCCACAGAATCGGTCCCTGATGCCAAAAGATTGGGGACCTCTGGACTAGAAGACCTCCACGATCCCTTTTAAGTCTATTATTCTATGTCCCAGGTTCTACTTTCCAGACAGGCTATCATCCAATACTAACAGGGCCTGCTTTGTCTTTTAAATCAGCCGATTTCAGCTAAGGGCTGTCACCTACCTGGGCTAGAGCCATAAAAGGCTGTAGAAATAAGAGATTAAACTAATCACCTTATACTTAGCAATTCCAAGAGTATGCGTCCTTCTAATGTGATGGAGAAGAATAAAAAAAAAGTGCAATATTTCCTCAATTTAATTACTTTTGAAATCATATTTCTACTGAAGCGAAATACTTGAGATTGTGTGTGACACATTAATTTTTGCTCTCAACGTTTCAGCCACCACATATATTTGATTGTTGAAGAAATACATTTTACCATTATGTTCATTTAAAATTGTTTAATTCTCAGTAGGTCCAAGGCAGTTAGTATGGTTGGATTATATTTCAAATTAAATATAGATTTAAGATGACAGCTTGATACTGTGTGGTAGAATGCACTGGGTTATTTAACTAATGAACTGGGAATAAATTGTCAAAATAGTCAATATATAAAATGTCTTAATAAATGGAATTGAATTCCCCATGATGGGTAATGGGAATTTTTTTAACATGCCCTGTAGGAAGGGAAGAAGAACTGAAAAAGAAAAAGATGACAACTGGCAGGAATTATATTGGATCATAGATCAACCTTTTCTTGAAGAGACAGGCATTGATTGCTTTTTAATGGAAGTACTCAGATTTTTTTTTTTCACATGTGGCACATTGTTCCTCTAACACAGTGGTTTTCAACCTCAGCAACTTTAAGAGGAATGGACTTCAGTTCCCAGAATTCCCCTGGCTAGTCAATTCCCCATGACTGGCTGGGGAATTCTGGGAGATGAATCCATACTTCTTAAATGTTTCTAAGATTGAGAAACCCTGCTCTGCTGTGAGACCTTCATTGTAATGTAGGAAACTAAAGTTTATGAGATTTATATGGATGGAGCTGACTCAATGTTACCTGATTAGCAAGGCTCAGAGTCACTACAAACTGTGAGATGAACAACAAATGAATTTAATAATAAAAATAAATAAAAATATTTAACCAATTAATAATATTGGCTCTCTATATAATTGAACTGATTGAACATGGGAGTAATTTTTCACATTGGCTCTTGGCATGTTGGATAATTTTCTTTATGAAATAAATGAGTCAAAAGCCAAATACTGGTGTCATTTGTTTATGTCGAATCTCTTACCAGTAAACTCAAAATTAACTGTAATATCAACAAGTGACAAAGTTTCAAAAAATGGAAAGGGGTGAATACTTTTTCACAGAACTGGGTATTGTTTAAGGCAGGGGTAGGCAACCCAAAACACTCAAAGAGCCACTTGGACCCATTTCCCACCAAAAACAAAACACCGGGAGCCACAAAACCCTTTTGATATCTAAAATGAAGATAACACTGCATATATCCTTTTTTACCTTTATTATAGGTGTGTGTGTGTGTGTGTGTGTGTGTGTGTGTGTGTGTGTGTGTGTATACGTATATATGTATGTAGGTCTTGGAAAACCTCAGAAAACAAGTATATATGTATATATATATATATATATATATATATATATATATATGTGTGTGTGTGTGTGTGTGTGTGTGTGTGGTGTGTGTGTGTGTGTGTGTGTGGTGTGTGTGTGTGTGTGTGTGGTGTGTGTGTGTTAACACACACACACACACACACAGGTAAAAAAAAGGATATATGCAGTGTTATCTTCATTTTAGATGTCAAAAGGGTCTCTCTCTCTCTGTCTCTCTCTCTCCCTCCCTCTCTATCTGCCCTTGGTCTGCCACTCCTCTTCCCCGCTCTCCTTCTTTCTCTCTCTCTTTCCTCTCTCTCTCTCTCTCTCCCTCCCTCCCTCCCTCTCTCTCTCTCTCTTTCTCTCCCCCCCTCTCCTATCTGCTGCTCACCTGCTGCTTCAAAGTGTTGTCCAACCAGCTCAGGGGTAGGCAATCTCGTCTCTTTTATGACTCATGGACTTCAACTCCCAGAATTCCTGAATCAGCCTAGCTGGGCTAGCTAGCTCTCTCCTGCCCTTCCTGCTTCCTGCTTCCTTGCAGCAAAGGGAGGAGCTCCGCCCAGTAAGCTTTTCAGCTCCTCGGAGAATACTGTGAGTGCATTCTCTTTTATACACACACACATACACACACACATACACACACACAGAGAGAGAGAGAGAGAGAGAGAGAGAGAGAAGCAGGGAAGCGCAATTGCCTCTCTCTGTCTCTGTCTCTCTCTGCAAAGGCAGAGAAGGCTGGGAGCCACAGGGGAAGGCTCAAAGAGCCGCATGCGGCTCCGGAGCCGCAGGTTGCCGACCTGTGGTTTAAGGTATGCATTGAATAACTCATACACACACAGGCACGCACAACGCATGCACATGCACATGCACATACACACACACACACACACACACACGTCTTTATAGCAAATTGCCAAATACCATATTGAATAGAATAGAATAGAATAGAATAGAATAGAATAAAATAGAATAGAATAGAATAGAATAGAATAGAATAGAATAGAATAGAATAGAATAGAATAGAGCTGGAAGGGACCTTGGAGGTTTTCTAGTCCAGCCCCCCTGTCCAAGCAGGAAAACTCAGTGGTGGGATTCAGCCAGTTCGCACCAGTTCAGCAGAACCGGTAGCTAAATTTTGCTGAGTTGGGAGAACCAGCTGAATGCACACTGTTTCTAGGCCTGGGAGGGCTGGAGGAGGCCTTCCAGGCCTAGAATAGCCCACCGGAAGTGCATGGATGCCACTTCTAGAAGTCTGTTCTAGGCCTCAGAGGCCCAGGCCTTCATCCAATAAGAGAACCGGTTGTTCAGGTATTTGAATCCTACCACTGGGAGAACCTATATCATCTCAGACAGGTGGATGTCCAGTCTCTTTTTTAAAATCTCCAGTGATGAAGTGCTCACAGTTTCTGGGGGTAAGCTGTTTCACTGCTTGATTGTCCTCACTATCAGGAAATTTCTCCTTAATTCCAGGTTCCTTCTCTCCTTGGTCAGTTTCCAACCATTGTTTCTCGTTCTTCCATCTGGTGCTTTGGTGAGCAACCTGCCCCCCTCTGCCTTGTGGCAGCCCCTCAGATACTGGAACACTGCTATCATGTTTCCCCTATTTCTTCTTTTCCTTAGACTAGCCAGACCCAAATCCCATAGCCATTCTTTGTATGTTTTAGTCTCCAGTCCCCTGATCATCTTAGTTGCTCTTCTTTGACTTTTTTTCCAAACTCTCAACATCTTTTTTGTGGTATGGTGACCAAAATTGGCTGCAGTATTCTATATGTAGTCTTACTAGGACTTTATAAAGCGGTAATAGTACTTCTTGTGATCTTGATTCTATCCCTCTGTTTATACAACATTAACTATGGCAAGACTGATTTTTCATTTGCAAAGAGAGTTCTGTTATGAAAAGCTGAAAGACTAAAGGTTGGTTTTATAAAAGCTGAAAGCAATGCACAAAATATGGAGAGTGAGAAGTTTGCATACAAATAGCTATTTTAATTGTTGTTGTTATTTTCAAAAACAGATTGCCACTTGTCGTGAAGAACTGCTATTTCAGGAACTCGTATTTAGTAGTCCTCTTACTCAAGTAGAAAAAGTTATATGACTGTAAGTACTTTGTTGTCAAATTTTTTGAACCTCAACTCTAAAACTACTCTGGGTGATTATTTTGCTGTCAAAGGGGTTTTAGATACACTGACCTGAAGCACATGTCCATGCTTATTAGGAGCATTATTAAGTCATCCCATTCTACTAATACTTAAAAAAGAAGAAGAAGCATAACCCAGTCTTAATTATAAAAGATACAGGTTAGAAGTGTACAAAATATTTCAAATTCCATGTGAAATTTGAAAGAATTGTTTCAAATTCAAAATAACGCCAACTGCCTCCAGGATGGTTTTAACTGCAAAACATTTTATTCAAGATTGAAATGGGATTGTCTTACGTTCAAACATATTGAGAAAGATAGGCATTTCTCATTTTGAACACAAATAATTGCTATTTAATCTTGAACTATTTTCAGTTTAGAACACTTTATGCATATAAAGTGTATGCATATGTATTTTTGTACATGTTATTTAATTTTTTTTAAAAAAGTGAAGCCTACACAAAGATTCCTGGTTCTAGTCTCTGGAAGCCATTATCTGCCTATAGATATCTGATACTCAAATAGTGTTGAACACAACTGCTATCATTCCTCATCACTGATTAACCAGTTTGAGACTATGGAACTTTTATGTCAGTCATTTGGGTAACCGTAGCTTCATATATCCTAAGAAAAATAGCCCAGTTTTAACTTTGACTAAAGCAGATTCCTATGCACTTATTTAATTAGATGACCAAAATGTAAATGTGTGAATGAACTCTGTAAATGGCATAGATTTAAACGGCATACATTTATAAACCATATGTTTGTAAGCACAAAACAAATGCTGACATTTGTTCAGAATTGATTATACTCACCCTTCATTCAAATCTTGGTCATTCCAGGGATCTTTTCTTATGAAACTCTGTTTTGATACTTGCAATTTGTGTGCTTTCCCACAAGATGGGGCAGACACTCAATAATTGCTTGCGCAATGTGATTTTCTGTCTTCTAATTCCAAAGGGCAGGTAGGCCTTCCTTGTAAGCAAAGCAGTGGCAAAGCAGTTACAAAATAATGTTCCCGGCTGAGAAATGGCATTTGTTGTTGTACATTAATAACAGATAAAACATTTGGCAAGGAAGCACATTACCCTCTTGTCTGTTGACTTGGGGCTATAGGATTGTTTGCTTTGTTGAATGATTTTTTGCAAGTAATATACATGAATATTCATGGGATGCATATGAATTAAATTACAAAGGCATCTGTTACGCCATGAGGGACTTATTGCTACACTGGCCATTTGCTGCTCAATTGGAAAACACAAAACATTGAAGAACTCCTCATCCAGATGAAATGCCAAATTTCATAATCAATTCCTGCTGAAGTCATTGAGGTATTAAGCATGACAAGATTTTTATGCAAATTGATAGATGGTTATTTTAAAAGAAAGGAACATTTTTTTTAAAAAACAAACAAACCTGAACTCCAGTCCACTTTCAGTGGCCTCCCTGCTGTATCTAACACAGTGCTTCCTATTCAATTAAGCTTCCTTGTTAATGTCTGAAAGAAAACAAAGAGATCAGTTGTTTCAGATACAGTGAGTACTAAAGATGGTGATGACCATGTCTTAAACAAAAGAAACAGAATATACAGAACACCTATGAGAAAATCAAGACAAAAAGCACAGAATCTTATTTATGTTTCAAGTAACTTCAACTATTCTATGGGTTCTCAGCTATTTGCTTTCCAATAATTTTACTAAAGAATATATTACACAAGAAAAACTCATACAATTGCAAAATAAACCAATAAAACATTAAAAAATTAAAAATGGAGAAATCTCAGTAAGCATAGTCAACATTAACAATAAACACTAAAATATAACCAAACATAAAACAAGTATAAAACATCCTTTTATACTTCAGTTTCTGTAAATCCATCTCTAGAAACTCATCCCTCCCTATTAAACAGCAAAAGTCCAGCAAGGGTTATCAGAAATAACAATATATTACAAATTATATCTATTACTGAACCAGCCCCAGGGGTCCTTTCAATCACAATTGTTGTCCATTGCTAGCAGGGTTCTCATAGACCATGGTTGTCAAACTCGCAACATCACATGACATGTCGCGACATATAGCAATTTTTTTTCCATTGCCAGCAGTGGGGTAGGTGCAGTTTCACCATGATGCATCTGGCCTGCTGGCCGGCAGTTTGACACCCCTGTCATAGACAAAAGAACCCAAAGTAAAATGCAATCCGTAAAAATAATCTTAAAACAACAATACAAAAACTATCCTGGTCTCATCCATAGAATGCAACACTCTCACTTCCAATTTGTGAAATGCAATTATTAGCCACCAAAACATTTTCTATAAAATTGGATACCTATGCAACTTTGTCAAAAAGTGCTCAACTACTTAACCCTCTACAGGACAAGCAACACAAGTTATGAAAAGGAAAACACTGCCATGCATCAGAAATGTTTCAGATATGCTATCATAGCACACAAACCAACCCGGTAGCCCAAGAAGAAGAAAAAAACAGGAGTCATCTACAACATACAGTGTAAGGAGTAAAACAGCCATTAACTAGGACTGGCAGAAGACCAGCAGGGCACATCCATGAACACCAACTAGCAGTTAGATGATATGGTGAAAACACCTTAATCTCATGACACATAGACAAACTCAGTCATAATTTCAACTAGGAAACTGTTGACATCTCTGCTTGGATTTGCTAAATCCAAAACTTCAAACAAAATTCCTGGAAGCTTAGGATTGAGACAAGTCAGTTATCAATAGGCACATAGAGGCAAACAACATTTGCACATTATTCAAAAGAGAGAAAAAAGACTGAAAGGGAAACAAAAAGACCATAACACCACTTCACCAGCAATCATATAAATAGGGAATGATACCAAGCTTAACAGCAGACAAATACTCAAATGGTAAACAATATCCTAATCAAGAAATTACTAATTCAGACAGACAAGCAGTAAACAACAGCCTAATCAAGGAACTACCAAGGAGAACACAACACCCCCACTAACATTGACAGGGCAAGCTGCTTTATATAAATAGAGAGCACACCCCACTCAATTCTAGCACTGAAGATGTTACCTAGTCAGGTAATGAAACGTCTACAAGCAAAAAAAACAAAGCTCAGAGCGCACCAAGTCAAAACCAAAACAGTCTAACCTGCTTTCAGATGAAGACAAATATTATTGGTAGTAATTTTAATAATATAATAGGTGGTTTGAATTTCTTTTGACAAAATTCTGGGAATTATTTATTTTATTTATTTATTTATTTATGAGACTTATATACCGCTTTAAGTGCAAGCACTCTCTAAGCGGTGTACACCAGTAAGCAATGTATATATATATTTACATTGCCCCCAACAATCTGGGTCCTCATTTTACCTACCTCGGAAGGATAGAAGGCTGAGTCAACCTTGAGCTGGTGAGATTTGAACCGCTGACCTGCTGAACACAGCTAAAGTGGCCTGCAGTACTGCACTCTAACTGCTGCGCCACCTCGGCTCTTTATAGCCCCAACATAGCTGGAGGGCACCAAGTTAGAAAAAGCTGGTAGTGTCCAGTAAAGTTAAAGATGCTTCATTTCTATGCAACATAATGTTGATCTATTCATGTCCCTTCAGCTTCTACTTGTAAAATAATGATAATAAAAATGATACTAAAAACTACCATCTCCACTATTTGGCTTCGCAGATTAAGTGCCAGTCATCTCAGACTGCCAGTAAGTATCTGGTCAATGGCATAGCCATAGTAGGTTTGTCCCAAATCTTTCAAAAGTCTTCAGATGTATGGAAGACCTTTGAAAGAAGGCCATTGAAAGGTCACTCTCAACCTTCCCTACAAGTCTGACCATCACAGAGAATTCTGGGAGTTTGTCCACACCATTTGAAACAGATTTCTGGTAACAAAGGGGATGGATTAATTTAAATGATTGCTAATAAAAAAGAAGTTTTTTTAAAAAATAAAATAAAATTAGCAACTGCTCAGCTGTTCCACTATTTTAATTGCACTGTACAGGTAAGCCCTTAGACTTTTTCTCAAGTTAATCTGTGGCTCCATGCCCTTCATTTATACACAACATAATGCTGATCTATTCGTGTCTCTTCAGTTTCTACTTGTAAAATAATCCTTGCAAAGAGTACTTAAAGGAAAGCCGAGAAAGAAAACCACATGCTTGTTTATGAAATACTATGAGGATAATTAATAAATGATAAGAAGATGAATAATTGAAAAGCATTTTTTTTTGGAAGGAGGCTTGCTGTAAAATGTTGCAAACAAAAAAATAGAAAAAAGCATGAAAGAAGTATTGTTACAGCTTGTATTTTAGGCTTTTTTCATTGAAAGTTTGATTCAGCAGTTATTTATGATTAAATGCACATTCACAACATTGTCTCATTCTGACCAGTCATAGATGATCGAAGACATATATAACTTTGGGAGGTCTGTTATATGCTCTGCTCAAGAGGGTGTTACCCAAAACCAACTTCCGTCCAATTTTGAGACTCTCTTGACTTTTACGCAGGACCAGGGTTTCCTGTTATCACAATGTCATCCTGAAACTTCAGGATTCCCAGTAGCTGCACAGCAAAAAATATTAATTATACCAAAGCAATTAAACTCACTTTAATTTCACCACAGGGAAAAAACCGTCTCAAACGCTAGAAGGCACGGAAGAAGAAAAATCGGTCAGTTATATCACTGGAAAAATAGAAATGCCACATTTGAATACAGGTAGTCTCAATTTATGACTACAATTGAGCCCAAAATTTCTGTTGCTAACCAAGACAGTTTCTTGCCAGAGTTGTTAAGTGAATCATTGCAGTTGTTAAGTTAATAGCATGGTTGTAAAGTGAATCTTGCTTCCCCATTCACTTTGCCGATCAGAAAGTTGCAAAAGATGATCACATGATTCCGAGACATGGAAATGTTATTATTTGTTCCTTTCTGCCAGGCTTTTCTGTCTCAAATTTTCACTGAAGAGAGTGTTTAATTTTCCTGTAAATGCATTATCTCATTTATTTAAAAGAACAACAGCAATTAATTGCTGTTTAAATAAGGAAGGATCAGCATTCTGAAAAGAGGTAATAATCTAAATCAGGGGTAGTCAACCTTGGCTCTTTTAGGACTCGTGGACTTCAACTCCCGAGTCATAAAAGAGCCAAGGTTGACTACCCCTGATCTAAATGAATTGATTCTTTTTAGTCTGCAGGTCAGAAAAAAATTACATTCTTATAAAACAGCTGATGCAAATGGTTCAGTGGCTTTTTTTGCTCAAAGTTTGAGCACATTCTACTGTGCTTTATATTGTATCTCATTTAGATGGTGTGATTTTTTTATTGAACCTGTCTTGAATTATTTAGCATGATATATAAAATGAGATTAGACTTTGTGAGCAGTAATTTTCCCTGTTGTTTTTAAGGCAACCATACTCTTAGATACCGTACTTGAATCCCAGTGGCTGGGAAGACATTGCAAGATGATTTTTCAAATTCGGCTGAATGTGAAGGATTTTCAGTGTTTACAATACTGGTAAGTCCTCAGCTAATGATCACAACTGAGCCCAAAAGTTTTGTTGCTATGTGAGACAGTTGTTAAGTGAATTTTGCCCTATTTTATGACAATAAAGTGAATCACTTCAAATGGTTGTTAAGTGAATCTGGATGCCCCATTGACTTTGCTTGTCAGAAGATCGCAAAAGGTGATCACATGACTCTGAATCACAGCAACCGTCATAAACAGGAGCCAATTGCCAAGTGTCTGAATTCTGATCACATGACCATGGGGATGCAGGCTGCCATGGTTGTAAGTGTGAAAAATGGACATGTCACTTTTTCGAATGGTCACTAAATGAACTGTTGTAAGTCGAGGACTACCTGAACAATGCAAGTTGCAACAGAGAGAGATGGGTGGATATGAAATATTTGAAAGTGCAGTGCAATGGTAATGAATGACAGATAATTGTCAATTGGAAGCGAAATTAATGTAGAGACTACATCTACAGCATTCAGCATCCTTTTATAATGACTTTCAGCAAAAGTCTTTCACAGTATTAAATGTGCTCTAGTTCAAGAAACTGAAAAATGTTTGATGTATTGCCCAGTCAATCATTTCATTTAAATGTTCCAAGGGTGATTTAGCTTCAGAAACTCATGGAATGACTTTGTATAAATTTCTATCTCCCACTGGAACCTACCTCATAGGACTGTAAAAACAATGGTCGGAAAGTGATATATGTAGTCATCTATTGTTTTTGGAAGAAATACAAAATAGGAATCTTACAAATGAATAAAGTAATATCTGTTTCCCTGAGAAGAGAAAATTTGATTTAATTCTACTTCGGAAAAGAAAGGAGCACCAAGATTATTAAGGAGAGGTTGTATATTAAGGGCCACCTGCAAGTTAAAAGGGCATCTGTGATCACAGAATTTGACTTCCTGCCTTGTTTACATGTGATACGTGTAAAAAGAGATTGTGGTTTGATCGCCCAGTTGTGAGGGTGTGACAACCACTCCTGCATTCACTCCCTGAGATCACCTACAAAATGTCTTAATGCCATTTTGTCTCTGTATACTGGAAAGGCTGGCATTAAAATTGTACTTGATAATTTAAAAAAAACACCCTACTATAAAGGTTATGTAATGTAATAGTACTAGATATATTTCTAATTATTCAGAGAATGAAATGAATGATAATGAACTGAGCAAAACACCAGGCTTTCCCACTCCAACAGTCCTATCATTAGTATATGCAATTTTCCTTTGCTTGTTGTAGCCATTCAAAGGGAATTTAACACTGTTTTCTCCAGAAATGATGATTTCAAGGTGATTTATTCGAAGGCCACCTAATAAGATACACTGCTATAAAAGCATATTTAGTTTAACAAAATAACCCCTTTGTTGGCTTGTTGTAGGAGAAAAGTGGTTTTACGATGTTTGGGAAGACAGGATAGTTATTTGTTGGGTATTTCTTACTGTCTTTTAGACATTTTGGGGGATTGTTGTTGTTAATTGCGAAGTCGTGTCCGACCCATCGCGACCCCATGGACAATGTTCCTCCAGGTCTTCCTGTCCTCTACCATCTTCTGGAGTCCATTTAAATTCACACCTACTGCTTCAGTGACTCCATCCAGCCATCTCATTCTCTGTCGTCCCCTTCTTCTATTGCCCTCAATCTTTCCCACCATTAGGCTCTTCTCCAGTGAATCCTTCCTTCTCATTAGGTGGCCAAAGTACTTGAGTTTCAACTTCAGGATCTGGCCTTCTAAAGAGCAGTCGGGGTTGATCTCTTCTAGGACTGACCGGTTTGAACGCCTTGCAGTCCAAGGGACTCGCAGGAGTCTTCTCCAGCACCATAGTTCAAAGGCCTCAATTCTTTGGCGCTCAGCCTTTCTTATGGTCCAACTTTCACAGCCATACATTGCAACTGGGAAAACCATGGCCTGGACTATACGCATTTTTGTTGGCAGGGTGATGTCTCTGCTTTTTAGAATGCTGTCTAGATTTGCCATAGCTTTCCTCCCCAGGAGCAAGCGTCTTTTAATTTCTTGGCTGCAGTCCCCATCTGAGGTGATCTTGGAGCCCAGAAAAATAAAATCTGTCACTACCTCCATTTCTTCCCCATCTATTTGCCAGGAATTGAGAGGGCCGGATGCCATGATTTTGGTTTTCTTAATGTTGAGTTTCAAGCCAACTTTTGCACTCTCCTTCTTCACCCGCATCAAGAGGCTCTTTAGTTCCTCTTCACTTTCTGCCATTAGAGTGGTATCATCTGCATATCTTAGGTTGTTGATATTTCTCCCGGCAATCTTAATTCCAACTTTTGATTCATCTAGCCCTGCCTTTCTCATGATGTGCTCTGCATATAAGTTAAATAGGCAGGGCGACAGTATACAGCCTTGCCGGACTCCTTTTCCAATTTTGAACCAATCAGTGGTTCCGTGTTCGGTTCTCACTGTTGCTTCTTGACCCGCATATAGGTTTCTCAAGAGACAAATGAGATGGTCTGGTACTCCCATCTCTTTAAGAACTTGCCACAATTTGTTGTGATCCACACAATCAAAGGCTTTTGCATAGTCAATGAAGCAGAAGTAGATGTTTTTCTGGAACTCCCTAGCTTTCTCCATGATCCAGCGTATGTTGGCAATTTGATCTCTAGTTCCTCTGCCTCTTCGAAATCCTGCCTGTACTTCTGGTAGTTCTCGATCCACATACTGCTGGAGTCTAGCTTGTAGGATTTTAAGCATAACTTTACTAGCATGTGAAATGAGTGCAATGGTGCGATAGTTTGAACATTCTTTGGCATTGCCTTTCTTTGGAATTGGAATGTAAACTGACCTTTTCCAATCCTGTGGCCACTGTTGAGTTTTCCAAATTTGCTGGCAAATTGAGTGTAGCACTTTTACTGCATTGTCTTTTAAGATTTTGAATAGCTCAGCTGGAATACTGTCACCTCCACTAGCTTTGTTGTTGCTCAGATTTTCTAAGGCCCATTTTACTTCACATTCTAGGATGTCTGGTTCGAGGTCAATGACTATCTCATTGTGGTTATCTGGGATGTTAAGCTCATTCTTGTATAGTTCTTCTGTGTAGTTTTGCCATCTCTTCTTAATCTCTTCTGCCTCTGTTAGGTCTCTGCCATTTTGGTCCTTTATCATGCCCATCTTTGCATGAAACGTTCCCTTCATATCTCCAATTTTCTTGAAGAGATCTCTGGTCCTCCCTATTCTGTTGTTTTCTTCTATTTCTTTGCACTGTTCATTTAAGAAGGCATTCTTATCTCTTCTAGCTACTCTCTGGAATTCTGCATTCAATTGGGTGTATCTTTCTCTTTCTCCTTTGCCTTTCGCTTCCCTTCTTTCCTCAGCTATTTGCAAAGCTTCCTCAGACAGCCATTTTGCTTTCTTGCATTTCTTTTTCTTTGGGATGGTTTTAGTTGCTACTCTTGTACAATGTTGCGAACTTCCATCCATAGTTCTTCAGGCACTCTGTCTATCAGATCCAGTTCCTTAAATCTATTTGTCACCTCTACTGTATATTCATCAGGAATATGATTTAGTTCATACCTGAGTGGCCTAGTGCTTTTCCCTACTTTTTTCAATTTAAGCCTAAATTTTGCAACGAGAAGCTCATGATCTGAGCCACAGTCAGCTCCTGGTCTTGTTTTTACTGACTGTATAGAGCTTCTCCATCTTTGGCTGCAGAGCACATAGTCAATCTGATTTTTATGTTGACCGTCTGGTGATGTCCATGTGTAGAGCCGTCTCTTGGGTTGTTGGAAACGAGTGTTTGTTATGACCATCGTATTCTCTTGACAAAATTCTGTTAGCCTGTGCCCTGCTTCATTTTGTACTCCAAGGCCAAACTTGCCTGTTATTCCAGTTATCTTTTGGCTTCCTACCTTAGCATTCCAATCCCCCATGATGATAAGGACATCATTTTTTGGTGTTAATTCTATAAGGTGCTGTAGGGCTTCATAGAACCGGTCAATTTCATCCTCTTCAGCACCAGTGGTTGGGGCATAGATTTGGACTATTGTGATATTGAATGGTTTGCCTTGGATTCGAATTGAGATCATTCCTGTCATTTTGGGGATTGTATCCCAGTATTGCTTTTCCTATTCTTTTATTGACTATGAAGGCTACTCCATTTCTTCTGAGGGATTCTTGCCCACAGTAGTATACCTGATGGTCATCTGAGTTAAATTCACCCATTCCTGTCCATTTTAGTTCGCTGATTCCTAAGATGTCGATGTTCAGTCTTGTCATCTCTTTTTTGACTACGTCTAGCTTGCCTTGATTCATGGATCTTACATTCCAGGTTCCTATGGAGAAAAAATCTTTACAGCATCGGACTTTCCTTTCACCACCAGATATATCCACAGCTGAGCGTCCTTTCGGCTTTGGCCCAGTCGCTTCATTCTTTCTGGCGCTACTAGTACTAGCCCTCTGCTCTTCCCCAGTAGCATATTGGACACCTTCCGACCTGAGGGGCTCATCTTCCAGCGTCATATCTTTTTTCCTTTTAGTACTGTCCATGGGGTTTTCATGGCAAAGATACTGGAGTGGTTTGCCATTTCCTTCTCCAGTGGATCACATTTTGTCAGAACTCTCTGCTATAACCTGTCCGTCTTGGGTGGCCCTGCACGGCATAGCTTATAGCTTCATTGAGTTACGCAAGCCCCTTCGCCACGACAAGGCAGTAATCCATAAAGGGGTTTGGGGGATTGGACACACTCAAGTGTCAAGATTTCTTATAAGAGTCTCTTATGTCTCTTATTCAGAAACAAATATTCATACTGTACAGCTTCATGAGTGAACTAAGGCTCTTCATGCTGACTTTACAATTCTGAGAATCAAAATGTATCCACAAAACTGAAGAAAATTTAATTTTTTGAATATGAGGGGGAGAGGCATCCTGTTTGAGACAGTTGTTTTCTCTCTCACTTTCATTTGTACTTTTACCTCCTGTTTTCTCTCCTCTACAGAAATCGTGTGAATTGTGTTTCACAGTCTCCCTTGCATGTGACTTCATGCATTTGTTATCCTGATTGCTCAAGCATTCGTAAAATGTCAGCTTTCACAGGTGATGAGTTTCAATCTATGATATATTAATTACTATGAAAACACCCAGATGCATTCTTATGAATGTTTATAGCCACAAGCAGGAGATTGGTCTGGGTCTAAGAAATATGAAAAATGATGTTTCTGTTTTGACATTCACAGTTAAGGCTTGGCTGGGTAATCTTGTAATTCCCCCTCCTCTCCAAAGTTTACAGATAAGTATGTTTCTGCCCTCCCCCCAGCCCTCAAAAAAGCTTTATTAACCAAATAGGTATTCATTCTTCAATGCTGTCATTATAATTGCCTTGAGAACTTCCTTTTACTATCTATTTCAATTATTTAATTGCATTTCTAAAAGAATTTTTTCCCCTCCCAATTTTTCTAATAGGTTATTTTGTATTTTTTGTTGTTTAAAATCATTGATATAATTGCAAGGTTTACCATTCTAAAACCCATCTCTCAAAGGATGGCTACTGATATGACCAAGAAGCAGTGGGCATCCATTATGGAACTTAAAGGCAAGGTTTGAATTTCATCTTCAATTTTTCCATTCATATAAAATGGCTGCTGTTTGAAAACTAATGGGAACAGTGATCTTATATCTTGGATGAATAGCTGGGGTTTTGTTCAATACTGAAACAGCCTGACCTCATAGATTCTGCCTAGATTCCAAAATTCATAGAGTAGAAAGAGAGATTCAGGCAGTCACTTCTGACATTAATGCAGGAATCCAAATCCAGGCATCCCACTCAAATGACTGTTTACCCTTTGCTTTGGCACAACCAATGAAGAGAATTTTCCCTTTGCAATGAGTAGTTGGTTCCATTATCAAATGTTTCTTTTTAGAAAAGTTTTTTTTTCCTAACATGCTTTCAGAGTGGGCCTTCATCTAACTTAAATCCATTCTTCTCTGCCATTTGTGAAGAGAAAATGGTCGGGAAGACAAGTTAGGAATTTCTTGGAAAGATCATACCTGACAGAGTTTGTCTCCTAACAGATGTTAGGTAATTAAGTCTCCTATCACTATGAATTTGTGTCACTTTAAAAGATTTGCAATTTGTTCTAGAATAGTGTTTCTCAACCTTGACAATTTTAAGGCATGTGGACTTCAACTTCCAGAATTCCACAGCCAGCAATGCCCTCCTGTGAGGTACAAAATTACTTTGAATGGTGCCATTGTCTTAGTCGTTGATTAAACAAAAGTTTGAGGTAAGAATGCTATTTCCACTATTACCAGTTTCTCCCAAGCTTTATAGAGCTTTTCACAGACATATTATGTGGCTACAATATGAATCATCCAGACAGTTTGAACCTCACCAATTTAATATGTCCAATCTAATCAAATTAATCTAATTTTCTAATGTGCTTAACTTCATAATGTGTTTGAAGTGAAATAATCAAAGTGATTGTTTAGTTACTAAATACAGCTAAATTAGCCCTGTTAGCTCTCATGAAATGGACAGAATCCTTCAAGCTGTGAATTCAGCTACCTGTGTTTTAGATCCCTGCCCCTTCTGGTTGGTTAAGGTCTTTCCTGAGGTGGCAGGTGTGATAAATGCTTCTCTGCCAGAGGAGATGGTTCCATCAGCAATGAAAGAGGCAGTTGCCTCGCCCGTCATTATGACGCCATTGCTGGAACCAATAGATCTGGACAATTTTTGTCCAGTTTCCAACCATCCATTTTTAGGGAAAGTTGTTGAAATGTTAGAATTCCATGGGGACCTGGAAGAAATAGATTATCTGGAGCTTTTTTTAGTCAGGATTCAAGCCTCGTTATAGGTTGGTCATGTTGATATTGAGCTCTGGTGTACTCAAGATGCAGCTAGTGCATCCATCCTAGTCCTCCTTGATCATTCAGTGGCCTTAAATAGTATCAATCATGATATACTTCTGGGTGAACTCAGGAGATCGGGAGTGGGAGGCAGTATATTACAGTTGTTCTCTTCCTTTTGTTAGCACAGGTTCCATTTGAGATTGGTAGTAGAAGAGATTGATCCTGGGACCTCTACTCTCTTCCAGCTCCTATTTAACATTTATATGAAGTCTCTGGGTGAGGACATCTATCAACACGGAGTGCAGTATTATTAGCATATTGATGATTCTCAGTTGTATATCTCCATTATGGGTCAACCAGATGCTGCTGGTGAAGTCCTCTCCCAGTGCCCGGAAGTCCTGGGAGGGTTGGATGGGGGAGAACAGGCTTTGTCTTAACCATGACAACACTGAGTGGCTGTGGTTTTTAAGCCTCCCTTTCAGCTTTGCTCATGGTGATTCATTCCTTAATTATCTTCTGTTTGGATTAGTGTAACACACTGTACATAGTCTTCCTTTGCAGGTATTGGGATGCTCAAGTTGATTCAGAATAGGTGTTTCCCATTATTCTCTTATAGCAATGGTGCTCTGCAAGCTGCACTGGATCCCACTAGGCTTCTCAGTCTGATTTACGATGCTGGTTATCACCAATAAAGCCCTAACTATCTAGACTATTTGGGGGATCTCTACTGTTGCCTCCAGCCCCCCAGATCTAAGAGGACATCTTCCTTCACTGTTTCCCTAAAAAAAATGCCATTTTCTGGACCCTAGACTTATGTTACCTGCCCCATGGAATAAAATGTCTCTGGAAATTGAGATAGCCCCAACCTTCTTAGCCTTTTATAAGACTCTGAAGAATATTTGTTCTCCCAAATATTTGGTCCAGGAAATTAAGAGACCTCTGGTGGCAATGCTGCTTTTATTATTTGGTGTATTGTTTTAATTCATGTTAATGCTGTTTTAACACTGTATGCTGCCTAAAGCCACTGTTATGAAGTGGGCAGCCATATACTGTAAATCACCCAAACAAATAAATAAATAAGATAAATAAAATAGATCTAGGAAATTACAAACCTATCAGCCTGACCTCAATACCTGGGAAGATTCTGGAAAAGATAATCAAGCAACGAATTAGCAAACACCTAAAGGCAAACAAAGTCATTACCAAAAGCCAACATGGGTTTGTCAAAAACATCATGCCAGACAAATCTTATTGTATTTTTTAACCAAGTGACAAAATTAGTGGACCAGAGGAATGCTGTGGATATAATTTACTTGGACTTCAGTAAGGCATTTGATAAAGTAAATCATAACCTACTACTTATAAGATAGAAAAATATGGGTTAGACAGCATCACCACCAGATGGATTCATAGCTGGCTGACCGGAAGTACTCAGTGTGTGGTTCTCGATGGAACTGCATCTACATGGAGGGATATGTGTAGTGGGGTGCCCCAGGGCTCTATTTTGGGCCCAGTGCTCTTCAAAATCTTCATCAATGATTTGGATGAGGGGATAGATGGGGAACTCATCATATTTGCAGATGACACCATGCTGGCAGAAATAGCCAGCACTCCAGAAGATAGGCTTAAGATACAGAAGGATCTTGACAGACTTGAACATTGGGCACTATCTAACAAAATGAAATTCAATGGTGAAAACAGTAAGGTTCTACATTTAGGCAAGAAAAGCCAATTGCACAGGTAGAGTTTAGGTGGTACCTTGCTTAATAGTAGTAACTTTGAAAGGGATCTCAGAGTCCTAGTGGACAATCACTTAAATATGAGCAAGCAGTATGCTGCAGCTGCCAAAAAAGCCAACACAGTGCTAGGCTGCATTAACAGAGGGATAGAATCAAGATCACATGAAGTGTTAATACCACTTTACAATGCCTTGGAATACTGCATCCAGTTTTGGTCACCACGATGTAAAAAAGATGTTGAGACTCTAGAAAGAGTACAGAGAAGAGCAACAAAGATGATTAGGGAACTGGAGGCTAAAACATATAAGGAATGGTTGCTGGAATTGGGTATGTCTAGTTTAATGAAGAGAAGAATGAGGGGTGACATGATAGCAGTGTTCCAGTGTTCAGGGGCTATCACAAAGAAGAGGGAGTCAAACTATTCTCCAAAGCACCTGAAGGCAGGACAAGAAGCAACGGATGGAAACTAACCAAAGAGAGAGAAGTAACCTAGAACAGTGATGGCAAACTTTTTAGAGCGTGAGTGCCCAAACCGCAACCCAAAACCCACTTATTTATCGCAAAGTGCCAGGGTTGCATCAGCACTGTGGTGCCCTCAGGAGGGTGGAGGTGGGGTGGACCACTGGGTGGGCATGGCTATGGTGGTCACAGCAGGCTGTGTAAGCATGGCCGGGGTGGGCGTGGCCACCTTGATGTTGCTAGTGGGGGGATGCTTGTGGGGGCTGGGTGGGATTGGAGAGATCCAGGGGGTCTCTGGTGGGTGGGGCAGTATGCAGGAGGCTTGTCCTGTTGGGTGAGGCAGGGGGTAAGGCGGGGGTGCCATTGCCTGACACTATCAATCCCCGCACACAGAGGCCAGCAAGTGCATGGGGGGGTGCGCTCTACCACCTCTACTCGAGCTTGCTAGCCAGCTGCTTCGCCTCCTTTGTGCTGGATGGAGCTGCCACTTCGGGTGCCATTAGTGGCCTAATGGACCTGCGCGAGCTGGTGGTGGTGGCAGCAGGTGTGCCCACAGAGAGAGCTCTGAGTGCTGCCTCTGGCACATGTGCCATAGGTTCGCCATCACTGACCTAGAACTAAAGAAAAATTTTCTGACAATTAGAACAATTAATCAGTGGAACAACCTGCCTTCAGAAGCTGTGAATGCTCCAACACAGGAAGAGAGAATGTGCAGCCATTTGTCTGAAATGGTATAGCGTTTCCTGCCTGAGCAGGGAGCTGGACTAGATGACTTCCAAGGTCCCTTCCAACTTTTTAAAATTATTATTATTATTATTAGTAGTAGTAGTAGTAGTAGTAATAGTAGTAAGATGTAAGTACCATTAATTTAAATTGTTATAGAAAGCTCCTTTAACATTTAAGTATTAAAGTCTATAATATTTAAAGAACTCACTTCACTATAAAAAAATAACTGAAACTAGGATTGGATAATAACAATAGAGAAATTAATCAGATAGTGCTGATCTGTATTTTTGGAAATATTAGGTCCCAAATAATCCACTTTCCACTTTGAACACCTTCCAAATTCTTTTGTCTCTGGTGGCAACTTGCACAGATTCAAATTCAGGACAACAAATCATAGGAAAGATAATATTTGTAGTGGCGGGACAGCTGGCTAGTGGCTAACGTATTATATTTTAGATCTAATTGCACATACCTATTAAAAGAGAAGCAGTCCAACAGTTAAACAATAGAAACACAATGTCATGGAATAAAATACTCATTTATTTTCTATGATCATCCTAAATAAAAACACTAGTTGCTAAGGGGAGGAGTGGGTAGGGCTGGGGAGGTGGGGAAATTGCTTAGGGCTAAAGCCCACGCATTGCATGGAAAAGATCCCAGGTGTGGACTTTGGCAGCACTATCAGGAAAAATTCCTTTATGAAACTCTGAACAGTTGTTGCTAATCACTGTCAAGCATATTGGACTCAATGGACTCCAATGACATGGTTCACTATAAAACAGCTTCTGGAAATGTTTTGCTGTACCGTATGATAAAGTGCTAAGCTGTATATAAGAAGGTGTATACTCATGCTGGAACTTCAGGTGAATTGCCCCTTTTGAACACTCTTTTTAGAAGATTATGAACAGCAAGATTTCATTACAAAAAGGCGGGTGACTATTGTACATATTTTATTAAATCACATACAAGAAACAAAAATGCTAGTGCAATTATTTATTCAGTGCCTGGACAATACTTAAATTGGCCAAGAAAATGTTTCACAAGACAACCTAAAAAATTAAAAGACAAGTAAAACTGATGCTAAAATTAATACTAACATCAAGTAAAGGATTTGGCAAAGGGGTTGTATCTAAACCCCTAGACAATGAGGTCAAACAAAATTCCCAGGGGACTATGTTCTACAGCAAGGAACCTACACAGAAGAAGTTCTTCTCCCTACATTGTAGAAAGAGGGTAGAAGACCCTCTCCTACAGCAGATCTTATCAATTAGATACCATAGCTCATAACAAGAAAGATTGTCTCTTAAATAGCAGGTCCTAAGCTGTTTAAGGCTTTAAAAGCTACTATATTCTGTCAACGCTTTAAAGTGAGTCCAGTAGGAAACTGACAATCACTACATTTATTTTATTACAAGCATCATATGATTCCCTAGGACTTGCACTTATCAGCAGGCTAGTTGCCATGATGTGCATTAACAATATCCAAATTCTTGTGAAGGATAGTTTCATGTAAAAGATATTTCAGTAGTCAAGATGTGGTGTAATCAAAATCTGGACAACCATCACCAAGTCCACTTGCCTCCTAAAAAGTCAGAGCTGTCATGTCTGATATAGTTGGCAAAAGCGTTTCTCACTTCAGTGGCCATCTGCATATCTAATGACAGTGTAAGATCAAGGAACATTCTAGATCTAGAAAATCTTATTAAAAACATGCTGAACACAATCCTCAGTTTCCTCTTTACAAAAGTGCCCACATTTTGTCTGGATTCAATTTAAATTTTTGCTAGGGTGTCCTCATTGGGAGGGGATGTCAAAATCTGCAAGATGGTGGACATGTTCTTATGACCCAAACATTACCCCTTTTATAATAAATCAATGTAGAATTTATATACAAAAGGGGTGGAGCTTGGAATATGAAGTTATGCCCACCATATTGTCGATTCCTCTTGCAGATGCTTGGAGATCTGTCTAATCCAAATCATTATTTAATTTAGGCAACACATGAAGAAAACAGGTAGAACTTCAATGGCACCATTGTTGTTGGCATCTTGACCTTTTTTTTTTTTACCTCATCCTATGGAAGCACTGGAAGGGATGTTGGCATCTGCATATGCTTTTAAGATACTGGAGTTTTTGTATTAAGTTACAATATCTACCGTATGTGAAGACATCATAATATTATAAGCTTAATATTTTACATCATAAACTATGAGGTGAAAAGACAGATTAAATGAGATGCCATAGTAGTTACCATATTCTTTATATCCGCCTTTCCAAAATGCTAAAGCAAATCACTACACTTAGAAATTGGGTAAGTTCATGCAGGTGCAAATCAACTGCATGAATTCATCCAGCTGCATTTTTACCCCATATGAATTAGGTTTTAATCTCTGTCTCACTGCTATTCATGCAATAAATTATAACCTGCAAACTGAAACTACTCCAGAAATAGTTTTCAAAAGGAAAAAAAATGGACTTATCTCAAAGGGTTGTATTGAAGGGGAAGAGAGAAATTAAGGGAAAGTACTAGAAATACAGTATATTTCTACAATATACTTGTTTAATATTTATTTGCTTAACTATCTTGCAGTTTAGACTAGTAATACAGTTACAACAAGTAAATGAACAATATTTCAAAAATTTCATTTAGAAATGTTAAGTCCATAACCAGAAGCAAACCATTACTTATCAGATAAAGTATTTCTCTAGCAAATGCAAATTAAAATAACCCCCCCCCGTGCGTGTGTGTGTGTGTTCACACATGTGTGTGTGTGTGTATATGTATGTATGTATATTAAATCCAACATATTGCACAGTTCTACTAGAAGTTATTGTACAGTAACAGCTGGAAGGTCATGAGTGCTAATGGTCAGTTGATACAAACCCAGAGGGATAAATGATCAGAGTTAATAAAAATCTGCCCAACTTAATCATTTTCACATTCTTAAGTTCAAGACTAGAATTGATTTTGTGCACTGGTATCATATTTTGCATGGAAAATAAATTCAAGCAGACATCACAATGATGCAAAGTACTGTTGTTCAAAGAGCACAGATCTTAGGCTTTCTTGGAGCTTCATAGGAACACCCCCCAAAAAACACAGCTAATTCTCTAAATT